GGTCTGTGACTAAAAAAAAAAAAATTCTAGTTTATACATATTTATGCAAACCCGTTTATATATATATCTATTAGTTTTTTATTAAAAAAATAATGAAGTGACTTTAAATGAAAAATTACAATGCATGTAATTAAAAACATCAAAACCTGTTTGATCGCTTGATCAAATTTGGTTGTATTTTTAGTAACAACCATCTTACAGTTACTGCTAGCTAACTCGATGTTTTCCTACCTTTTTAAATAGTGATACAAAATGCATTTCTTCATGTGTATATTTCTCCAACTTCATTTTTTCCCAAGGCTTCTAAAATATATATTAAAGGCCACTATTACAGAACACCCTATATACACATTCAATAAAGAAAAGATATCTAATATTATGACGTGACTGAATACTCTTTGCTTTTTGGACAGACTTGATGCACAGGTTTCTTTCGTTGGGTGTATTTACTCCGTTATGTCGTATCAGCTACAGCCTATATGTTATGCATCCGCTAGTACTTATCTTCAGGGCAGCATCCTTGAAAGAAAGGGTATACTTAGGGATGATCGATATGGTGAGTGTAATTTGGATATATTTAGTAGGAATATTATTTATAGAAACGTAACAGATTTAAGCAGGATTCTTTCGTCAAATTTCTTCATGCACCTACATTCGAACCAGTTGTCCTATGGATGGTTGACTGAATGTAAACAATAACAAGCTTCCTAAAACCAAAAGAAATTTAGAAAACTTCCGGTGTATCCCTGCAATGTTATGCTTGCGAGACGATGTGTGGACAGGCTTAATATTCTAGGCTTAATATTATTATTGTGATTTGTGTTTAAATTTACGTGTAATTTTGGTAGACGGAAAAAAAAGGTACGGAAAAAAAGGTCCCGGTAAAAAAAAGGTACGGAAAAAAGGGTCCCCGGAAAAAAGGTACCTCCATAGGGAAAATCTGTAGCGATATTTCCCCTCTCGCTTTCTGGGCAGCATGAATGTTTCTCGCTGTTTCAATGAATATTCTTTTTATCCGTAATAATTCAGATTAGATCATTGAGGTAGGAGAAGGGTAAGGGGGGGACTTATGGACTGGTAGTATTACGCCTTTTTTTTAAATTTTATTTCATTTATTTATTCTTCTTTGATTATTTTTTAAAGCCGGAAGATACTATTTAAATTTTTCTTTTAATTATTTTCTTTTATTAAATTAACTTTTTTTTGTAATTTTTCTAAGTGAAAAATGTGTTATTTTCTATTTTAAATTATATTTTNCATCATAATAGGTACTGGATTGGAGATCGATCGTTCTCTGATTCAGGTCAAAATTACAATCTGTGGATGAATGAATGGATATGTGAATGGGTCCGCCTTATAAACAGGTGTGACGTATGGTGTGGCAGAAGTTGAATTCTCGGCAATAGATGGCGCCACTGAAAAACAAGAATCGCACACTCTGCCTTAAATTTGCTCGGTTTCACCAAGCAGGCTTGCCCTTGTGGTAAGTGGCAAAAGAACCAACCAACATATACACACAAATTCAATACTTTTTTAATAAATTCGAATGGAGCTTCTACTTAAAGACAAGGATTTCAAATAAGCAAAAATTTGCCAAGAAATCGATTTTTCACTTTTTGCATTTTTGAAATCTAGACATTTAACTGAATATTTTCAAAAAAAAATTCTTGAATTAGAGCAAAATTGACGAAGCCCTGCAATGAAAAATCAATAAAACTCATTTTTCTCAAAATGTCCTTTTTTGACAAATTTATAAAACTCAAACTGTTCCAGCGAAATGAATTTTCATTCTATTGACCTGAGAATTTGATTCTGCATATTTATGAACATTATTAACATTTTGTTAGAAAATTTTTTTGAATGAAATAAATAGTATTATTTTTATACATGATATTTTATAGCGGTATGATGGGTTTTTTTTCTTCCAAAAAGGTTGGTTTTTTACTGTTATTTGTTTCAATAATAAAGAAAGTACCCCCAACAATTTTTAAATATATTCCCTAATATGTAATATTTTAAAAGGATTTTGTCATTTTAATAAAATTTCTGGTGCGAGAAATAATATCAAAAAAAGCACTAAAAATTCGAAATGTTAATTTTTTTTCAATTTCTTAAATTTTAAAAAAATTTGTTGAAATTTTGTACTATAAGTTGTTTTTAACAATATCAATGAATATTGAGAATTTCTAACAAATCCCTTGATAATTTCTAAAAATCTTTGAAAAGTCCTTTGTCGCCTTAAAATGTGGAATCGGGCGGCGTTGATGGTACAGACAGTGGCGTAGTTTTATTGTATGTCTGGACGCCTTCTCCGACATATATATATATACAGTGAATTCGCGATAACTCGAATCTGATAGGACTGACGAAAAACTTCGACTTATCGGAAGTTCGACTTACCGTTAGTTTCGGTTTTGGTCTTTCAAAATATTGNAAGTGGTAGTAAATGAACAAGTAAAGTTGGAAAGATTTTTTATTGATTAAATTAATTAAACATTGAAGATCTAAGTAAGTTAACAAATAGATCATATCTACATATTTTTTTAATTATTGATTTGTCGTAGTAGGTTGAATTTTTTTTTATTTATTTTTAACTTTGAATTGAAGATTTAATACGACAAACTGCTGTAACGTTGCCACTACTAAGAAGTTTTTTTCTCTACTGCCGTAGAAGTTTGTATATATATATGTTCTAAATCAGGTGTTTCCAACTTACATAAGGCCGGGGGCCACAATTAAAAACACAAATCAAATGGCGGGCCGCAACTTTATCAAAATTTTGCAGGAACATTAAATACTGCTGTCAGATTTTTACCAAGTTATGCAAAACAAAAGTATTGAATTACAAATTAAAATAAGATGGGGATTTTTAAAAATATTTAATTGCATGTTAAAAAATTCTGGCTACAATAATTTTAATGGGCACCTATGTATGAAACAATTAATGTGCAACAGATATCTTAGAAAACTTTAAAAAGGTTGGTATTAAAACTTACATAGTAGCACACAAAATGTTCAATGACAAAATTGAGGTTTGTCTGCTGCAACCACCAGAGAATAGATATTTACATAATTTAAAATTTACAAATGTGTGTGTAAACATTTTCGTCCAAAATGAGTGGTTTCAAAAAGTTAAATCGGAGAATTTCTTCGAGACAATTTCTGATACACACATGCTAAATTATATTCACAAAATGCAAAAAAAAAATTATATAAAAAAGAGCAACATACATAATTATTTTTGTATCTGAATAAATATTTTCATGGATGCAAAACCTGATAAATAAATTTTTTTTGCACCGTTGGTATGTTAAATTTCACAGAAACGAAGAAATTGGGTTTTTATTAACGAGAAAAGTATTTTAAGCCCATACAGATTTTTTATGAAAATTGTCTGCAAAAAAATTATAACTAATATATTCCAGTTCGCGGGCCACAAAAAAAAAGCTTCGCCGGCCGGATGCGGCCCCCGGGCCGCCAGTCGGAAATCACTGTTCTAAATGTTTAAATTATGAAAAAAATTAATAATGAAAATTTTTTATGTCTTCATCTTACAGAACCGAATAGCTCATTAATCAAGTTATGTCGAATTTGGAGGGTGTTTTGTCCCCCAAACCCTTGCCAAACCTACTATGCCACTGGGTGCAGATAACATAAGCTTTAAATTACAGTCAAACCCCGCTATAGTGAACCTTCAAGGGACCGAAATTTCTGTTCGCTATATCCGCCGTACTACAAACAATTTTAACTCATTTTTCCAAACTGCTTCCTTTTATAACACATTATTTAAAGAAATGACAAATAAAAAGAAAGACAAAAATGATTAAAAAAACAATATATAGTAACGAAAAATGTGTTAACTTTTATTTTTCATCATCTTGCTTACAAAACATTTAGGGATGAGAATTTGAGATAGAAGATGCAAACAAGAAAAAATACTTATGGCTCCATTCCACTCAATCGATTATTTTAAAAATCGGTTTATGTATTTTATGTAGAAATTTTAAAATGAAGGAAAAATGAGGAAGAAAAATCACTCGAAGACAGAAAAAAAGTTCATAAAATCCAATTTCCTCTCGTGTTTTGGTTCGCTATGTCCACAAAAAATAATATTATATGTGTATAACAAGGCACGGGAGCGAACATTTAGTTCACTATATCCGGAGTTCACTGTAAACCGTGTTCATTATAACGGGGTTTGACTGTATTTAGTGAATGAGTGAAGAATAAATTTGTTCATCTGATCTTTTTATCAATATTAGTCTTAAGATTGGTTTTTATGTCAGTCAGTTGACTTCGCCTATCTAGAACGGTATAGAGTCGGGTTCTTAATTTGATTTTAATTCATGCATAAACAGAAAATGAATATGAACTGAAATATAGTTTACATAATCATAAAAAGAGAAAAAAAATAGGAAAATAATCGTTGAGAATGATTATCAGAGAAACATACTCCTTTGTTGAATTTGGGTATTTTTTTTATTCGATTTGAAATGTAAACGGAATTTTTCGTAAATGAATATCTTTTTCAAAATTAATTTATTACATTGTTATTGGAGAGAAAAAAACATTATTTTAAAATTTTTTTCTTCACAAGCATTCAATAATTTCGTGAAATTAACGAAAATATTAAATAAATATAGGATTATCAATTGGATATAAATTTAATTGCAAGTTTCGTAAAACATTACTGTTTAAAAAAAAAAATCCAAACTATCGGAACCGCTGTTACTCTTTCACGGAACCCTGTGGTTCCTCGGAACAAAATCACTCGAAGACAGAAAAAAAGTTCATAATATCCAATTTCCTCTCGTCTTTTGGTTCATTATATCCACACAAAAATAACACTATACGTGTGTAGCAAGGCACGGGAGCGAACATTTGTTTTACTATATCCGGGAGTTCACTATAAGCCATGTTCACTATAACGAGGTTTGACTGTATATATATAAAAAAAAAAGAAGGAAAAAAGAAACTTCTAGAATAAGGTGCATACTTACATCGTAAACGGCTTTCCCTTTCAATCCACAGCACTGAACGTGACAACGATCTGAACTTATTCTACAACGAGTTGGAAAGTGACTACTTTCAACCCTTAAGCCACTCAAATTATAATAATAAAAAAATAAAAACAGAAGATGCCAACCTTTTTCTTCTTTCTAATTTGACCTGGGCAGCAATACTAGTCATAAAGGGTGACCTTCATAAGGAGACAAGCCTCGTGAAATTCTTCAAGGAAGAAAAGTCCGAATTATTGTATCACTCAATTTCAATAACACGCTTTGTTTTGTTCGACTAATCGACGTAATAATTGGACTTGCTTTTACATTAATCCTTTCATAGTGAAAGTAAAATTCTGTAAAAAATAAGGAAAAAAGATTGAGGACCTTTTTTAGTTCCCGCTTTGCATTCTGTTCAAAATGTTACAGAACTACAAATCCGCAGAAAACGATAATTGTATTATGAATCCGCAGAAAACGTTAATTGGATTATAAATCCGAAGAATTTCTGTTTTATCAAAGGTCATAAATCTTATAAATAATTTATCCTCCTCTAAAATGATTATTTTAAATTTAATTTGCCAATTTAATCAATTTACCTCTACAGGCCTGAGTAAAAGATTCGAAAAGACTGTTATTTTCCTGTAAATCTCGATTCATGATTTCCTTCGTTCTTTTTTTTAATTACTTCTTTTTTACTGATTATTAGATATACATAGCTGCAGACATCAACAGGAAAAGAAATCCAGTAGATTTTACGGAATGATATAAATTCTACGATAATTGTTGCAAATGTACTGAATATTTTACACATAGGGAATTTTAGGGATTTTTTTTTATCGTCATCAAAATAGAAGAACTGCAATATTTTCCAGCTATGATTGACATTAAAAGAGATTGAAATGTTTTGCATTATTTTTACTCATAATTTTGAATAGTAACGGGCGTTTAATTTATCAAATATAGCTAAAAAACGTTCTAATTAATTTAAAAAGGGAGTTCGGAATTTAAAAAAAAGAAACTGAACATTTTAGAATAAAAAAAGTTTTTAACTGATTTTTATAAATGAGGCTCGCTTCATTATTGGTATACGTATTTAATAATTTACGTATACGCATTTAATATTCAGTAATGCGTATTTAATATTCAGTAATACGTATTTAAATATTCGAGCATGCAATAATCAGTGCAAAAAAGCTCTATAGGAATTTTTTAATGAGACTTACTCATTTTTAGGGAAGTTTATAAAAGCGTACAAAAACCTGGTGAATATTTATTAAACCAGTAGAACAGGAGAAACTGGCAAAATCCAGTAGAGTTGGCAGATATGGATATGTGCTTATCATAAGAATATTTATGAATAAATATCAAATGATACATTTTAAGAAGAACCGTCAGCTTTGAGACACTTTACATATTCGTTAATAGAAATTAGAGCAAATAGACTTGCAGCTCCGAAATTGAATTTTAACTAATTAATAAAATTTAGGAAACTAAACTGTATTATTTCTTTTCTTTAAAAAAAAAAAAACCCTCTTTATATACTTCTTTATATTTTAAAAAATTTGAACAAGAACTCAGAGCTTTTTTTTTTATCTCTCACTTATTTTGATAGAAATTATAAACAATTCACACGCACAAAAATTTTATAATAAGATGACAAAGAGAATTGGCAAAAAAAGAAAAAAAATATTTTACTTATTTCTTACTATAAATATAAAAATCTAATATTGGTGTCTCGGTTTTCCTTTGTTGTACAAAACATTTTCATATATAAATATTTTTGTTTCCTTAATTTAAAGGTTAAAATTGCCTGTACTGTTATTATCACGTTTTTTATTTTGTTTGATATCGTTTGATTTTGTTTATAAATTAAGAGTTTAGAAGGATTGTTTTTATGATTATTATTATTAGAATAACATAATTCTACATTTCAAGATTAAGTTATTTAAATCGGTGTCTGATCTTTTATTAAAAGTTTTACAATTATTATTTTTTAGTGCAAATTACATTAATGTACCATTATGAATTTCGGTTAAAGTGATTCGTTAAATGATTTATAACTTAACTTTCAGCTTCATGCACTAAATGACGAATTCAAAAATTGTATTTAAAATACATCCGTCCGTATGGTAAGCAAAAATATTAAATGACAGTTGTGAAATCACAAAATTTGTTATAACAATATACTTTTAATTTGAATTTTATTTCAAAAAATGGGAAATATTTGGAGGTGGGAAGTGCACAAGTGTTCTTTTTAGTCGAATAATTTCAACTGTATTCTGCCAAGAGACAGCAATTACTGCGAAGCAATTATCGAGGTTGGTAAGCGTCAGCAAACAGGTCGTTTAGTCCTCTAAATAGGAATAAAAAATAAAAATTTGGATTAGAAAAATATGAATCGGTCGAGATTGATTACTCGAAAATTAAATATACAAGGTCCCGCAGTGGACTGATCGTTAAGACGCGGTTCCCACCAGATCACCGAAGTCAAGCATAACTGGCTGCGGTCAGTGTGCGGGTTGGTGACCACTTGGATCATTCTACGAGCGGTATGGGTCCTTGTTAAACTGTTCGACCGTAAAGTGCTCGACTTCGCGTGCAGGTCGTCAGACTACTGAAGAGGAGGTACCATCCCCTTTCTGCAGAGGATCAAAATTGTGATGGCATGTCATCCTCAGGGATGTTTCCCAGACCGCCGCCAAAAGCCCATTGTGCAGATGTAGTGCGACGTAAATGAACTTTTTTTTCTAACGGCAGGTACTTGAACATTCGTTCTTCACCTAGGAAGTTGCCGGAAGTGTTACTCATTTAACGTTACCCAGTAACGTTAAATAACTTAGGGCACCTGTTAACCTAAGTCACGGAGGCGAGCAACATTACCCACGCCACACTGCCACAGATACCCGCTTTATAGGGTGGGCCACATTCACTCATCACACAATAGAGAACAACACACAGAGAGAAACATCCATGCCCTAAGCGGGATTCGAACCCGCAGCCATCGGCTTCGCAGTCAGGCACGCTAACCGCTCAGCCACCTGACCGGCGAAGTAAATGAAAAATATTTTGTTCTAGACGTAATGAACTAGAACAAAATATTCAATTTCTGAAAAGAATTCAGATGTTAGAGATAATGACAGAAAGGAAATAGTTAACCTTCGCAAAAATATCGTAAATCTTCGTTAAATACAAAGGGCAATCTTAATATGTTGCGAATATTCAGGGCTGATGGCGAATAAATTTTGCCTTAGAAATTGCTTCAACTACCATATTTTCCCTAGGGTTGTGAATTTTCTGTTGAAAAATATAACAAATGGGACACGATTGTTTCAGACTTAAAGATTATTTAAATGTGCATCAATGAAAGTCTATGACAACAGCATGTTTTTGGCAACTTGAATCCCGAGAAGAAGGAAAAAAATCGTTGAATTTAGAGATAAAAAAACTCTCCATTGTATTTTATTCCAAATCTCTTTAATGAACTAGTGGATGTTCTTTTGGCAAAGTTTATGTCCTCTTCACTTGCTGGGACAGTTCAGCGAGGCTCCCGAATTTGCTTCAGATTATCAGATTATAACAGTTTTGTACTATTCTACGTCTGAAAAATAGATGTTCCTGTATTTATTTTTGACGATTTGCTCAGAACTATAAATCTAATCCACTAACAGAAAGTTTGAGGCTACGACTGAAATTTGTATTTAAGTATCGAAAGGCAACAGTAAACAAATGCGAAGTGTTAAAAGTATGGGTTCAGTTTTTTTTTCAACCGAAAAGGCATATACTGTGGGACTTCTATTCAACGAACTTCCATTTTGCGAATTTCTCCATTTTGCGATTTTTTTTCTCTCGAGGAACCAAAAACATTTTGGAAATTTCTTTGTGAAATAACTTCCAAATAGCGAAATGAATTTTCTTTTTAACGAACTTTTCTTTGATATCCACTTTCCTTATTTCCCAAAATATTTCAATTTCGAACTTTAACGTATTTTACTAGGGAAAGATTTTCGCTACCACTTAACTATTAGAGAAAGCAGTAAGATCCCTTTTCCTTTTTTGATTCAATTTCAAACGAAACACTCAGACAAAATGGATTTTATCAATAGCAATTAAACTTAACGCATGTGGTAATGCATGTTTAAAATTACTTTCATAATAAAGGCAGCTATAATTTAATGCTAATGATAGTGAAACACAGCATAATGTTTTGCTCTATTCTTGCTTTCCATGCAGATTTCTTTTATGGTTAAGATTTATAAAATAATTAGTAGACACTAGTTTACAAGATAAAGGTGTGTCAATTTTAATTATGTCTAGTGTTTATGAATCTAAAACCTGTTTTGTGTTGTTTAAGTATTTCAAAAGGTGATTTTTCTACTTAACGAATTTTTCATACAACGAACTTATTATCGGGATTTAGCGACTTCATTAAATAGAGGTCCGACTGTATTTTTCTTCACATATTGCTCAACAGACGCCGCAAAATCTCAAAAAGTCAAAAAGAGAATTGAAACTGAAATCACTTGAATTTGTCAGTTCAGATTTTCAATATAAATGAATTACGTTATAAATGTTGCTCTCCTATTTAATGTCCTTAAAAAAGGTCTTTCTTTTTACGTCGTATTTTATTATTATTATCCTAATTTCGTGCCTGTTAGTTAATGTCGGAAATCAGTCCAAAATTGTTTTAACGACTGTGTAGTATATATCTACCACTCCAAAAATACAATTCCAATTCCCTAGTTAGTATATAAAACATGCTAACTCGATTGTATGTTTGGGTACCTTTACATAGATGAAGATTGACATTGTCGATATCTTCTCTCCGCACAGACTGTAACGGCAATGAAAGGAATTGTAGAGTGTGATGCCACATTTATTTTAAAAAGATAGGAAATACATATGTAATGCCAAATGTGGCATCACATAGAGTCCTCCAACAGAAAGATTAAATTTAAGGACACCAGTCGAAATTTGTATAGCGTTGGCTATTAATTCTAATTGTAGCTTTGTGCTGCCGTTAGCTGTTATAATTAGATCTATTATAATCTATATACAGGGTATCTTTTTGTACGAAACGCGATGGGAACTTATAGTGTCATAGTGAAAATTTAAGTGTGTAGCTAGTGAGAAAGTAGACAAAAGTTTGTTGACGAGGTACAAACCGAAAATGAATCAGCACGTTGAATGCCATGGGGGTCACCGGTGACTGCCACTGGATTTGTTCGTAGCGCCACGGGGGTCACCGGTGACCGGCGAAGCCAAGATTATTAGAAACACATAATTCGAGTAAATTTTTAACGCTTTTTATATTATTATAGTTACTAAAACGGTTTGAAGAAATTAAAACAATATGGAACACACAAAAATAGTT